TGAATTTTTTGTAATACTGTTGAGTAAGATTTTTTTTTCTTAGCTTAGAAACAGCACTATTCACACCAACTATTTTATTCAAGGAAAAGTTGTGTCAAGTCTTTTAGAAAATAAGCACAAGCCACACATTTCATTTCACACACTTATATTTCATACTAGGCATTTCTCGACTACCGCAGGAAGTTCATCAAAAGCCAAGTACATTGCATTGAGAAAAGAGAATACATCTGCAGAGCCAGGAACATCTATTAGTCTTTAAAAAGTGCTTACTCTGCGCTCATGGAGCACTGTAGAAAGTCCTGTGTGTGGACAGTGTGACAGTCTCTTATCCCATGACTATGGAGCCAGCTCAAGACCACTTTCTGTGTGACTGCAGATGGACGTACCAGTCTAGACACCTCCTCCAAACTCATATGTTTGCCTGTGGAGAACAAGATCATATGCACATTTGTTTTAAAGCTCTTCTCTTTATGTTTCATTGTTTTATCATAAGTTTCTGTAAAGTTCAAGTTGTGTCATCACACATAGAATTTCCAGTTAGACAGATTTTAAGCCAATGGAGAATTTAAGATGCTACATATTAAACTTAGCATTTATTCAGTAGAAACTCTGGAGATTATGTAGGTTTTCCACAGCTCTTTGTTTGCTTTTTATTTGATGTCGTTTTAGATAGCCTCTCTATGGACAAAATAAAATATTTTCAGGTTAAGTCTGTACCATAGACAGGAGAGTCTGGGTCTGAAACCTTCATGAGCATGTCTTCCAGATCTGCAACATTCTGCTGCTTGAGGGCAAAGGTCAGTCTGAGTTCTTCTTCAGGGCTGACCCGACCTACATCCCTCCAGTCATGCGGCACCCTGGGAAAACAATGCCTTCAGCTTCCACTATTCTATGCAATACTTTGTTTCTGCAGAAAAGGTACCAGTACTGTGTAACTTTTTGGGGTATAGGGTCCATCATCTGCATGTCTGCATTGAGATGTTATCACTTTGCTTGGATTGTTCTAAATGCACCTATATTTTCACAGTAAGCAGGGTCATCTCTTAACAGATCTGGCCTGTAATTTGACTTGTCCTGATGTCTAGATTAGATTTTATGCGATATGCCTTACTATGTACAAAAAATTACATCATAAAGATAAGATCTATCGAACCCTCCAGCATAAATGTTACAAAGTGCACTTTTACGTTTCATTTTAGCGTTTTTAAGCATGAGTCTTATTCTTATCGCATATAACTTTAAAGAAATCGATCACGTGTGCGTTTAGTTGTGTTTTGATCTCCATGGACAAATATGATACAAGGACATTTTAAGTTTACAAAACATTTTTAGCTTACAAAACATTCTGGTCATATTCCAGGAACCCTCCGCAGACCAAGGAGACCCACAGCCAGCAGAGAACCGGGCTGACCCTGTGAAAAGAGCAGAGAAATACACAAGGTTACAAACATGGTAACAAGTGTGTATTAGCCTGGCGCATTAGCAATGCCCACTCTAGAAAACCGGATGGTAATGAACACAAACAATAGAACTTGTCATTCTGTGGCTCAGTATTAGCTCTGGCCACAATGTGAATTTAAAACACGGAAGATCACGGGCTCAGACTTACAGTGTTTTCATGATTTCACCTTCTGTTGTTAGTCTCACTGTGCGCGTGCTCCAGCTGGCTGTTTTAAAAAGCGGCAGTCACGTGACACGCAGTCATGTGATCTTTGGTTTCGTATGTGTCATGGAGTTATTAAAAACTCTATACCGTGTATAGAGCACAGTGGAAGTACTCCATCTTGTACAAGTAAAACTACAAAAGAGCTAAAAAGAGCCTCTAAATGGCTATGGGGTGAGAGTTTAAATAAACAGAATCCTGAGAAATTATCCCATGAAATTAACACACGAACCCGTAAGTGATCCTATGAAAGTGTCTCAAGATTCTATGAAAGTATCTCGTGATCCTGTGAAAGTTTCTTGCATTGAATGAATGATGAGGTAGACAGGGAAGCAGAGCATCATAACCGCGCCTCTGCTGCGTTCAGGCAGTAGAGGCGGCTAGTCTCTGGGCGCACAATTCAGTTGATTCATTGCCCAGCGAGCTTTCTTTCTTCTATCCGCAAACTGTCCCGGTATGGGCTCTAGTGCTGAGTGCAGGTCGGTCGGTTATTTGTCCAGAGAAGGAGCAGCTCCGTATGTGGCCACCTCTCGTGCCAATAGAGCGCGCAGAGCTTTACGCACAGCGCGTTCCACTGGTACGAGATGCAGCCGTATACGTCTGACTTCCCCACAGTGAGAGCGCAGTGTGCGAGGTGCCTGGTTAATGAGTGCATAAAAGCCCTAATTTTTAAATGCGACGACGAGGAGAAGCAGCTCTGTAGTGCCAAAAGACGCTGTGCGTTAAAGTTTTGCGCTCTCCACCAGCAGCTTTATTTATGTGATATTTAGCACACCTCAACCAGTTCTCCATTCAGCAAACGCCACGGCAGATAGTGTCTTATGTGCGCTCCATCTGCGCGCATCAATGGCCAGTGTGCAGGGTGAGGCAAAAGCGTTGTCCCGTTTTTCTTGTGGGAGAGGAGGTGGGTCTCTGGACGTTGTCTTCTCTGCACATTCAGTGCCCCCTACAGAGGCTTCCCTGAACACACTTAGGCTATGACTACACGAACCCAGATATTTACTTCACTTGATTGCAGTTCAAGAAGTGGCGAACCATTTTTATCCTAGTTACCGGTATTCATTCATTGCTTATTTTAGCCTATTTAATCTGGTGATACTGTATTCAAGAGAGGAAATGACAAAGGCAAAGAACTTATGGACGTTGAATCTATGGCATTAAAAGCGAAGATTTCAGCCAATAGCCTACAAAATGAAAATTACATTCTGAAACAATGACGTTGTCCATTACCAATTCCAAACAAAACAGACAACAAGAGAAAGTTTATTAATTTGATTTAAATTAAAAATACCTGGGCACTTTCAGTCTATGATCCAATTTGTTTAAAAAATGTATTGGGTCTACAGAAACCTGCACTTAAAATAGCTTAAGGATCCACTGTGAAAAGTTCTAAAGGACATTACTTTTACTTTTGTACTTCCATCAGTTTAATAGTCTGTAATGTAAATTGGCAAGTTTGTATTCCATTAAAAACATGAATTTAACCTTTTTCAAAAGTTGTAACTCATGTTGTTGAATTTGTGTATGAATTAATGTAACCCAATACTACAAATACTAAACTAGTGACTCAAACTTGTATCCCCTTTCCTTAAAGAGTTTATTCATTAAAATGAAATTTAGACATTTAAAATTGCCATTTTGATATAGATACATTTTAACTTTAATTATTCACAATGTTTCTACAGTCTTGTTAGCAGTAACCCACATGAATATGCTTTAACCTGGTCATAAACACTGTACCATCTACATGGTTTTAATCGGATTCTGTGAAGTAAAAATCTTCCTCTTCATCACTATCAACCTGAGTTTCTTCTTTGTCTGGAAACATTTCCCATACCACAAAGGTGTCATTTTCTAAGTAAAAAGAGACACACAAAAAAGGTAAAATGACAATTAAAGTCAGCTCTAATTTTGGATATGCCGTTTTTCTCACCAGTGTTGCCACATCTTCTCATAGGTTTTTTCACAGACGCAATAGGAGTAAAGTTTCCTTTAACCTTCAAAAACAATATAATAATCTAAATTACATAATAATGCAGAAATAAACACAAACTACAATCTATACACAGCATTTACCTTTTTAGCATGTTTTTCTACATTAAACTGATGATGATTTTTCATCCTCTTCTGAAGCTTGAAGACATACTTGTCATCATAGTTCCTTATAAAAAGAATACAGTTTAATTGTGGGTTGTGTTATACATTTCTGCCTTTCACACTGAATTGGTAATTCACTTAAAAATGTAATAGTGACAAGCTGGTACCTGCTACTGGAACCCATCATGCTAGGGGTGATGTGTAAGCACTGGGGGGTCTTGGCTTCAGAGAGCATTGTGGGCTTGGGGGTCACGGGCTCTTGGTCCGACAAAGAGAAGTCATGATCACTTGTACACATAGATGGCACCTATGTAAGCAGGAAACGTGGACAAGAATACATTATTTTACTTGACAAGGACTTGTTCTCATTATTTAAATAACAAAAATACAATACTAACAGGGCTTTAAGTCTGTCACAGGAAACGTTACATGTCACATTAAATTATGTATGGTGAATGTTTTTTTTTTTTAATACACAGTAGAAATCCCAATTCGACTTAAGACATGCGCTGTTCATTGATTAAAAAGAAGATATGGCAAGAATGCTGTCGTTATTTTTAGAATTATATAAACTCACCTCAAATCGTTTATTCTGCATGTACGCAGTGCTAAAAATATCATCCATGTCTTCCTTGGGCATGGCCTCCAGGTAGTCGCGTACCTGTTGTTTCCTCATTAATGTTCCCACACGAGCAGAGATCACTGGGTTAGCTGTAAAGATAAATTAAATTGTCAATAAGTCGTCATCTCTCAAATACCAACTCTAACACTCGAGAGACTCCACGTTTTTGTATCTGTCATCATTCATCTAAGAATGTTGAAATAAAATGTTAAATCATTTTAGTGTAACCTTTTACAACCCATTCCTTTCTTTAACCATCTGTGAACCTCTGGCCAACATTAAAACAGAACTTTGTGGTAATATTACCTTTCTCCTTTAATGGTCCTTTCTTTGTTTTCCGCTCATATTTAGAAGGCGTCTTGGCAGCTCTTGAGAATGTGTGCTGTTTTTGGCATTCCTCTGCAGAACGTGTTCCAACCATCATTGCCACCTTTGTCCAGTAACCAGTGATGTGCTTTGGGTGACAAGACACTGCTCTAAAAGTAAGTAACAAACACACACATTTAGCTTAAATATATAGTATACACTGATATAATACAGTAATCTGTCTGTGGTCTTACTCATGCAGCTTCCTCAGTTCCTCCTCGGTCCACTTGTTTTCATCCTGTTCTGTAACTGCTTTGATACGTGCCTTTCTTTTGCCCGTCCTGTTGGGCTGTGCAGTTTTTTGTGTAACTACTGGTGCGCTGACTTCTGCATTTTTTTGTGAAGGTGTTTTGGTTCTCCGTTTTCTCTGAGTCTTCACGTCTTTCACTGGTTTTGTTTGCGACTTATGTGTGCGTGACTCTCTTTCCTGTGAAGAGTTGGAGGAACGGCTGGAGCGAGCGGGCTTGCAGTGGAGATTCGCCCAGCTCTTGTCTGTGCTTTTGTCCTTTGTCTTTTTACAAACACTGTCTTTATTAGTGAGTGGTTGTGATGTTGTGCTGGTATCATTTGGGGGTGTACGTCGACTAGAAGCAGAGCGTTGTCCAACTTTAGCACCCTTTGCTATCGTGGCCAATTTGTTTGTGTTTTTAGATCCTTGTGATTCTGGGTTCTCACTGGTCTTCTCCGTAGGTGAGCTGCTCTTGCTGGATCTGGTGACTCGATGGTTCGTATTGGTGTTTACAGGGCTTGGAGTCTTCTTGAGGACAGTGACATTGTGTTGACGAGGTTTCCGCTGTTGGGCCTTGACCTTTCTCTGGAGTTGCTGTTCGGGACTGGATTCATGCTTCTCATGCACTGCAATAAACTTTTGTCAGTAAAATGACTATTATGAAGAGACTTGAGAATAAATAGACAAATGATTGTTACTATTTTTCATAGGAACCTTCTCCCAGGCTCTTGAGGTATCAGGCTTTGTAGAGATAAATGACTTGGTAGAGATAGAGGTGATGATCTCCTGAAAAACAAAACAGAATGTGTTTTAATGCGACCTAATAAAACTGTATTAAATTAATATTTATATTATAACATTTTATTACATAACACTAAACTTCAACTATTCATCATTTATGGTAACATGAGTGACAGACTATACCCAACTAACTTCCCATAGAAAACAAAATACCCAATATAATCAATATAATCAAAGCTGTGTACATGATTTACAAACATATTTCAAATTATTTTCATTGCTGTTATATTCTTCAGACAGAGATTCATTAATGATAAGCTATAGGCAAATAGAAAAAGATTTCACAAATGTTCCACTATGAGATACAAATCTGACACCTGAAAATATATCAGATAAATGGAGGGAAGTGCTTACAGGTTGAATGACTGTTCGGTAGCTGTCATGAATAGTGACATTCATGTCTGCATCCAGAATAACTCGTCCTCCCATCCAGTATTCGAGGGGGGGCTTGATGACACGGCCGCTGCGGGACATTTTGGTGCTGGATGCAGCGGATGAAGGACAGGGTGGAGCTGGAGCAGTGCAGAGGTACATGTTTTAAAATTATTAAGTGCACACATCGTCCATTGTGATTCTGGGATACATACATGTCTGCTGCTGCTGCTTCAGAGACTGGTTCATGGAAGTCTTTGATTTTTGGCTTTTACTATAATTTTTTGCCTCAGACCTTTTTTTCATGTTTCTACAAGGAAAACATCACAAATTAACTCACACTTCAAAATGACAATGCTAATTGTATGTTATTTTTACTCATCATACCCCTTAGATTCTGACAAATATTTTTTATGAAGCTCCTTCCAGTTTGAGGGGAAGCCATTGACAAAACATTTCAAAAACCATTTTGGAAATTCTGTAAGTAAGAAATGGTTAAGTTGCAAAAAAGTAATATTGGCTCATAATAGTGTGATCAGTGACCACTAGATTGTGGCTTACGTGTAGGGGCAGTCAAATCCATCTTGCCAACTAAAATATAGACCCTACCGGAGATCGTCTTCAGAACAGAGTTAGACACTCTGTCTAAAATTATATTACTGTTCCATGGGATGTTATTTTCCCTAAAGTAAAACAAAAATATGATTTTTGAAACAAGAAAAGGAATCTTTTGCTTAGTGCAAAGCTCAATTTACCTGTGAATGCCATCTAGAAAAAGACCTTTATGACTTCCCCGAATGAACCACTTTCTTAGGTGAATTACATTCTCCTATTAAAAACAAAGTGGGGAATGGATATCAATGACAATTCAGTCACTCATCAAGTCAATATAATGTATTATTAAATATCACTTGCAACATGATAAACTCACACTAGGAAAGGTGGTGCAGGAAGACCATTTGGCTCGCCTGTACACAGTTTCTTGTGTTTTGGGGATGGAAAATCGTGGGGAGTTTAGCATAAGTGGATCTTCAAGCAGGACAGGCACATCAGACACTGGGCCACGAGGGAAATCCGCATCAGAGGATCCAGAGTTAGGACTTTGCTGTCTGCTGATGCTAGATGCTGTAGATTCTGGTCCCACTGTCATCTCATTTTGAATATCTACAGTAAAAATGATTGACAACTAAAACCAAATCAAAATGTAGCTCTTTAGTCAAATCAAATGTTAACTCCAAAGGCTCACCCTGGTCAACCTCTGGCCCGGAGCAAGATGTGACTTGTGGAACATCACACTGGTCCCTTTGGTTCTCCCGTTCTTTCAGGTAAATGAACATCTTGGCAGGACTCATTAGATTATGAGGAAGTGTGTCAACAGTGCATCCTGCTCACACACAAAAGGCAGAATCTGTGACAAAAGTATTATTCAACCTGCCAAACTTCGAGCAATATGATGACTTCACCCTTACTTTACTGTAATCATCACAACACTCCAGCATTCCAACTCATATATATTCACTAAAAGACAGGAAATAACACGCTTTGATCCTTCTTAAGTTTTGACTTACCTTTGTGACTAGGTGCTACCTTCGAAAACTGCTCCACGTTCCTTGTATTTGTGATATGCGCAACCTCTCTGAACGCTGGGTTGATTTTCCTTTCTTTTTCCGGATAACAAACATAGTCCGTATCTGACATCATGCTGTTGGGCTTATTCCAAAGTTCATTGTGCGATTTTCTTTTCCTCAGCCTCTTTCTCATCGGGGAAAACACAGAATTGGGGGTGATGAAGCGAGGGGGGGCAGCGTTCTCCAAATCTCCAGGTTCACAGAGAACAAAGCGATCTGATGCTCTTGTGTCAAAGTCATCCATGTGAGTTTGTGGAGCTGTTGTGCTGCAAACAGCGGTAGACTCCATAAGGGCTCTTCGTCTTGGCGTGCACGCGGGGTTAAAAATATTCAGTTTCGTGTTCGTACAATGCATCCGATCACAATCGGTTACATATTGGTCATTTTTTTGAGGACTTGATATGGGTGAAAGAGTCACCGCAGTTACCTCACCATTTCCCAATAGGCTCTGGCTGAAATCTCCAGGCTTGTCCGTGCCGTGGCTCTCAGTCCTTCTCTTTGGCGTGTAGTACAGTGGTCTTTTAAACTCTGCAGGTTGGCATTCATCTTCAGAAAAGTCGTCCACGGCTACTCTCTGTACTTTGGACTTGAGTTTAGCAAAGACCTTTGCAGGAGATTCAAAGGGAGCCCTCAAATGATGCTGAATCTGGTGATACGACGCCATGTGTTTGTATAATCCGTTTACATTCTGGACCTAACCGAAGCCGCTGCTTGTTGCCCGCAAATTTTAAATTTTCCTTTCACTGTGGTCACGTGGTGCATGATGTAAAAAGACCTGCCCATCAAATACACCACTTCCGCTTTTCCGCTTTTGCTATTTTCTGCTCCTGGCTGCCTCTGTGCTTATCTAACATCAACAAATGTTACCCGCGTATTAACCATTAACTGAAGCATAAGTAAGCTTTTATTTTGTTCAAAAAAAAAAAAAAAAAATTAAAATAGGATATAGAGCATTGAGCGTCTACGTGCTGGATACTCCGATACAATAGGTGGCGTAGTGCATCCAAAGATCAAAGAAGAAGAACTCACTTCCTGCAATGTTGTTTTTAGCTTTTGCATTTAGCATGAGCTTCATCTATACATTTTGGTATTCGGATGGTTCACAAGATCTAATTTAACGTTACCGTTTGTAATATGCATTGTAATATGCGTCGATGGTTGTTACATACGTGTCATGTGATTTATTTTAAGTAAGTTAAATTGAGCCGCTATCAAAAAACTTGTGGGCTGTGAACTCCCAACTTACTGATGCAACATGGCAGCAACTACTGTCAGTAAATGTCTTTCCTCCGCTTTGAGGAGGATTCACGTGGTCCATTGCCGTGGAGTTCATTCTGTAGTGGAAAAGTCAGTGTGCCGAGTGTCCAGTGTGGCGGTATGTAGACCTAATTTCGGTTCAGTGGAGAGACACACAGAGTTGAATGGGACAGCTCTTTCAAGGGACGGGGACAAGGGCGGCGGCCAGGACAGGAGCAGAAGCTCGAGAGCGTTTCAGCGCATGGGCCTGGGACTGTGTGCGGTGGCTCTACTAGACCACTACAACAAGGACAGAGAACATTCCTTTATACAACACATTCTCCCAGTAGCTCAATGTGCCTCCCCTCATAAGCCTGACACTCCACGTTTTAGATACAATTTTATTGCTGACGTGGTAGAAAAGTCGACTCCAGCTGTGGTCTACATTGAAATACTTGGCAGGTTGGTTTAAAAGTTAAAAATGTTGTCACAGCTAAAGAGTGGTGACCACTACACACTACCAATAAATTAAGTTATTCACACCTTCAAACAAAACAATCTGCTCTGTTACAGACACCCATTTTCTGGACGAGAGGTCCCAGTTTCCAACGGCTCTGGTTTCATTATCAGTAAAGATGGACTCATAGTCACTAATGCCCATGTTGTAGCCAATAAAAGAGGGGTCCGAGTCAAACTCACAAATGGGGACACTTATAATGCCACGGTACAGGATGTCGATCCTGTAGCTGATATTGCTACCATCAAAATATCCTCAAGGGTGAGTCTTTGCATGGTGAACTGTTCTTAACTAATCTGCATTCGGATGATGTATTCCCATGATTTTATTTAAGTGTATTCACCATTCTAAATATCTTTGCTTTTAAATGTATATCTTATGGCTGTGGTATTTTTGTGGACAGAATCCATTACCTACTCTGCCCCTGGGACGCTCATCTGATGTGCGGCAAGGAGAGTTTGTGGTGGCCATGGGAAGCCCTTTTGCTTTGCGCAATACAATCACGTCAGGGATTGTCAGTTCTGCTCAGAGAGGAAGCAAGGAGCTGGGCTTGTCTAAATCTAACATGGATTACATTCAGACAGATGCAGCTATTGATGTGAGGAACTGTACACTCATTATCCACTCAGGGACCTAAATTCTCTATATCTAGTGGTTAACACGCCTTTTTCTTTTTTAGTTTGGCAATTCTGGAGGCCCTCTCATTAACCTGGTGAGAAAATATGTTTTGAAGTGGACACAATCAGTTGTCTGATGTGCTGTAATTAACTTTTTTCATTTATTTTGTATTTGATGAGCTGTTAGATAGAACATTTAAGCTCCAGCTACTTACATTTTAAGACAATAATGTTCTAACTCCTTGTAACCAAGAGATTTTCTTGCCTTTATCAGGATGGAGAGGTCATTGGAATCAACACCATGAAAGTAACTGCAGGCATATCTTTCGCCATTCCATCTGACAGGGTGAGAGTTTTTCTAGATCAGGCAGCAAATGGAAAAAGTATGTTTTCATTTTAAAAGATGATTATTTATTTTAAAAACTTTCTTTAATGCCTGTGGTTCTCTGCTGAATCTTTTAAGACTCTAGACCTAGTGGCACAGAGCACAAGCGGAGATACATTGGTGTGATGATGCTGACTCTAACTCCAAGGTAATTGACTCACACAGTTAAAACAGCTTGTGGTCATGAGTGCCACTGACATTTCATTGGTTTGTGCCATAGTATCATCACTGAGCTGAAGCTGAGAGACCCCATGTTCCCAGATGATGTCACACATGGCATCCTCATCCACAGGGTCATAGTGGGATCCCCAGCCAACAGGTACAACCAGACACCCTACTGTACTGAAAGTAAAACATGAAAGCATTTGTACAAACCCATTAGACAAATACCACATTAGAATTTAAGCTTGTCTGTTTTTAAAATATGCTGAGTGTAATCTGTGGTTCATACTATACTTCCTGTTGCTTTAGAGCTGGCATGTTACCAGGAGACATAGTGCTGGAAATCAACGGCACAGAGGTGAAAACTTCGGAGGAGATATATACAGCCGTCCACAGCAGTGACAGAATCACAATGTTGGTGCAACGAGGAAATAAGCTGATCCATCTCCAAATGACTCCAGAGGTTGCAGAATAAATGAACACTGGGACTGCCACTCAACACAGCACTGTCTGACACTAGTTCTTTATTTTTAACTAAAATGACTGATGGATAGTGTACATGTTTATTGGACAATGAGCCAAACATGAACTGAAATGTCCTGCAACTGCACAGAGAGTCATCATCTTGATTAAAAGTATTCATGAAACAATTCTTGGTTTTCTTCTACAAAAACTTGTAATTTTTAAAGCTTTTTAATGTTGACTGCAATGAGAAGCATAGGACCCAACAATATGGCATGGACCCTTGATGTTAACACTACAATTAGCTGAGACAACTTACAACTGCTACTATGATGACAATGGTCACACAAGTAAAATACAAGTTGTTCAATCCTATACAATGAAATAGTTTAAAGTATACCATACAATATAAACAAACCGCGCACCTTGGTTTAAAATGCCTATCTGCCATGAGAAGGAACTACGCACAAAATGTTTGACTTTTACTGTTGTATCAGATTAGACAAAGTTGTGAAGCAGAGCTGAGTGAATAAAAAGTTCCCCTGGTATATTTACATAGACACTTCAGAAAAGGAATTAAAGGACTTGTATTAACTGCTACACAGTTTACTTAGATAAATGATTGCTAACAAAGGAAGATAACATTCAACCACTGTAGGTTTAAAACAATAAGCTCATACTTTTGAGCTACAGACAGATACTACAACATACAAGTATGGGAGAAAAATAATATTGTTCAAATTCCATTAAAACTACTTTAAAAAGGCTTATTATATATATATTGCTGGTAATATTTTTCTTTTTAAGAAAATATAAATTGTGCGACTGAAGCTTACAATACGCTGCTGGCAGTATGCCAGGTTCTGTGTGACCTGCTGGAGGTTGGTCATCGGTAGAGGCACTGTGTGCTGATAGACTTCCAAATAAACAAACGTTTGACATCTGTAGATGCCTAAATCCCTTGGACCAAAACCTAGATGCTGCTATGGCGTTTGTGACGATGGAATGCTGCAGAGATCACACAATGTGCACAAACAGCAGCACAGTTATCAAATTCATACACGTACATAAATAAGGGGAGTGGGGAAGGGTCTTGAGGAGTGTGAGGGAGAAGTGTAGTGTCCAGTTTAGTCCAGCAGGGGGCTAAGCGCTGCCTCAGTTGACATGGTCCAGGGCTCGTAGCAGCTCCTCTCCCTGTAGCAGATACTGGCGGCCCTGTAGAGGAGCATTCACCTCACAGTCGTATTGAGTGAGCTGAGGCAAAGTGAGAACAGAAGAACAGTTCTCTGAACTGCCCAACAGCCGGCTTGCCAAATCTACAACACAAAGGCTCACTTTAGTTTTATCATTAAATAGAATTACCATTGACCGAAGTTTGGTTTATTCACCTGAAGGTAGTATAGTCCTTTGGACACTCCCCTTTTCTGCATTTTTCGATTCAGGGGCTTTCGGTTTTTTAAATGGCTCCAAAAGTAAAGCGCCCTATGAGAAAATCATTAGATGATGATTCTATACACACAAAGCAGCCACACCACATACAAAAACAAATATTTTATTTTGCAAGAAACAAAGAAAAACTTACTTGTCCTACTGTTTTTATATCATCCAGCTTTCTTTTCCGTTGTGCATTTTGAGCTGCCTGTGTTCGGAGGGATACTTCTTTGTCCAACTGTGGTGTTCTAAAAGGATAGAACATAACTCTAAGTAAACATTAAACAAAAAGATTACTGAATAAATGATTAGTGTGGAGGACAATATTTACCTCTTGGAGATGATGGTAGCGAGGTGAGGGATGCCGACAGGATCAGGAGGAGCAGGAGAGGCTGTGTGCTGGCTGTCTGAAGGAGAGTCTGGATAACTGCTGCTTTCTTTTGTGACTTGCACATTAGGCCTCTCCACAGATGTGTCTGGTCCACAGGACAGAGGCTCCCCTGTCAGGCTCAGCAGCTGAAAATCATCATCCATGGGTATGTATGGGGCCAGCATCTCCAGATCCAAGTCTTCCAATGCCTTTGCAAAAACGCATATAAAACTGTCAACTAACATGCAATTGTCAACTAACATGCAGGACACTTGAATACCTGTTTTGTAAAAGGAGTCTTTGGTTCCGTATCAATGGCAAACATTTTCTCAACAAAGTCCAATTTGAATTCAGAATTAATTTCAGTTTCCATTAAAGAGAATTCCAGTGGACTTTGAGCCTAAAAAGAGGAGCCAAACCATTTGTCATTCATGCATCCATAAGACCGCGGGTGTGTTATTAGTCAGACTGTGACCTGGCTGTACCTGGGTGGGGCTGTTGTTTGCTGTGTTGCATGGAGCAGGAGTGAAGCTCTCTGCTTTGACCATCTCAGTGGGAGTGGACGGAACAGTGAGGGGCTCACTGGAGGGCAGTGGAGACAGGGGAAGGGCCAGTTTGTCACTGCTGGAGGGAAACATTACATCATTGTAGAGAGGGACCTCCTTCAGCAGCTGGACTTCAGAGTCTATATATAAAGGATTAAGCAAATTTGGTTTGATTTTGGCAACACAGACTATTTGTATGCATTTTTTTTTGGCACATACCTGGGCAGCTGAAATCCAGGGAGATGATTGTGTCCCCTGCAGCAGGAGCCAGTAGAGTCAGTGCCTCGGGCTCCTCTTTGAGCTGATCATACAGGCTGACCAGTGGTTGGGCCTCCGCCCGAGTGAAGAGCTTGATGACATCAAGTTCGGGAACCTTCTCGTCTTTGAGGGGAGGTGGGACCAGCTCTGGGCTGCTTTCCTCCACAGGCTCCTCCACAGCCTCCAACTGCTCCTCTTTCACTGGCTTCAAATCCTCTGTCTGCTCCAGGGACAGGATCATCCGCTCCTCCTCAATGCCACTGGAATCATCCACATGTGCCAATACTTTCAGTATTAATCCCATAAAGAAACTCAAACTCTTAAAGCACCAATGATACCTCAGCACAAAGTTGACACAGACTACACACTGTGGCTGTGAGTTCTTGTTGTTGTAAATGACTGTGGCTTGGGTTTCCACCCATACAAAGCCTCCTCTCTTGGCAAGCATGCGATACTGTCCAGTGCAAACCTGGCCCTTAGCAAATACTGTACACAAAAACAGAAAGTTGGATTATGTTCCAAGTTAAACATCAACATCTCTTCCTTGTCACTTTTCTGCTTACAGTTGTGGTGCGTCTTGGTGAGGTGGTCTGAGTCTAGAGCATGATAGTACTCATAGACTGATCGGTTCAGGAGGTCCTCTGGCTCATATCCCATCAGCTCTGTGATCCTAAAACAAATAGCAAGGCATTCAGACCTGCAGTGCCAGCACTAGACAATAGGGGGCAATGTCTCACTGTGAAGCAGTGATTTGCTTCTAAAAATGGGACTGACCGTTCATCACAATAGGTAAACTTCATGTCCATGGTGTGACGGCTCAGGAAGGTCTTTGTGTCAAGAGGCACCTCAATGTTAGAGGGGTGAGGGATGGGGTCACAGATCAGCACCAAATAGGGCACAGGTGGTTCCTTCTGTCCGTTAGAAATGTCCTCTGTCAGGTTCTCAAAAACACGGACATGTCCAGAGCATCGCAATACCTGCACACATCACAGGATTACAGTTAGTCAGGATCCCTCTGATAAAGAAACATTCACCAAAAACTTCAAACATCTCATTTGATGTAACATTTAAGCCCACAGCAGTGGTAATAGCAACTTATTTTAGACATGCAACAAAAGCCAAAATAGAGAAAAGGGCATGATAGAGGGTTACTGCTTTAAAGCAGGCAAAAAATATTTGCACCTACCTTCCAAGTGGCTGACTTGACATTAACAGTGCGGCCTCTGCTGGTCAGAGTACATTTCATTCGCAGAAAAAAGCTGCGTTCTGTGTTGGCCTCTTTGGCTTTTTTTGAGCCTGAAAAACAGGAAGTAAGTCGTTTCATGAGAGGAAATAAGCCTCTGAGTTTTATTTCCCTGTTGAGCTGACACTATTTCATTCTTATTGAATATTTCAGTGGAACCTATTCCCTGGAGCCATTTCACCCAAGGGTCCAATGGTGCACATTTACCGTTTGGTAAACCATGCTGTAATTACATTTCTTTATATGTTTTAGTAAAGTGACTAAGGTGTTGTCTTTCTCAAGAGCTGACAATGAAGACATCTGTGGCTCCTGACAGCTGACCCCCCACCTTCACTGCAACACTGTACTGTGACTGGACTTGTTATGTCTCCTGTTCCCTTTTCAATGCATCAGCCTCTGATGTTGGCCTTCACCTGTTCTGTGGATCAGCATCTCCCGCAGCTCCTCTTGGTCACAGGGATGAGTGAAGTCAAACACACTGTGTCCAGTCAGATCAAACTGCACAAAACAAGAGGTAAACAAAGTTTAAAGATGAGCACTCTCGAATTCAGTAAGCAATTCATAGTAAGTCACAGCTTCACCCGCAGCTCTTTGGAGGCTCACCTGTGCCAGCCCAAGGCATTTGTTGACATTCTCGGACAGGAAGATCATATCTCCATCTTCCGACAGCACCATAAGAAAGCCTTCCAGAGCCTTTAGGTAGGAACTGTTGAGTTGCATGTCCAGGTCACTTTCCTCCTCCTCTGACACCTCATCTATATTGCAGAAGAAAAAAAAGATCTTCAATGTCAGGCCTGTAATGTGCTCTAAATTTGTGTCTTCAAAAAATGTTTATGATGTGTTATGTTGTGTACAATTGATAGAACCATATGAGGCAGAGAGCACTGACCATTACTGAGCAGTTTCCTCATGCGCAGGTAGCTGATGGTCAGTCTCATGATGGAGGCCTTGTCCAGACTGGAACTGACACTGTGGGGCAGAGGCAGCTGCTGGGCCAGCTCGTAGAAAACCTCCGACTCCTTCCCACGCCGGCATCTCGCTGCATCTCGGGACTTTTCTTTGCGGCGTTCTGAACTCACTCTGTGAAAACGAGGATATGTTTAGGAAAATTATTGTAAATATGACCCACACACAGTCTTACATTTCAACTTTTTCATGTCCACCGGGTGGGACCAGAGAAGATAAGTGAGGACGTAAGTACAGAGTCCTCCTGAGAATGGTCTGTCCCATATTTCCATATATGCCATCTGCAGTGCACAGTGCTCACTGGCTGCACAGGTCCACCCCTTCACAGCATTGGCTCAAAGGACACACTGTATTTCATCGCTTGGAGAACAGCCA